GTGTTTTTAATTAAACCGCCCCCCCCCCCCCCCCTTTTAAATATGGATCCCCGTCAGATCTGAGATTGCAAAACCGCACTGCTCGCTCTCTAGAGCATACATTATTTTCTACCCTTCTGACCTCGTCCCTTTCTAAACAAATCCAGCATTTGCAGTCTCTCCCAGCTCCTGCTCACTTCCACCTCCCCACGGTGGACCCCACCGCCTCTGCGCCTGTATCCTAAAGCCCTGCCCGTGCTGTAGCCACGTGGGGGTTGCTACAGCCAGACTGGTGCCAGTCTCTGACCTGGCCCCATGGGAATGTGTTGGGAGTGGGAGCAGAGAAGACTGACTCTGGGAATTCAGAGGAAATTATCTGGGACCTGACTTTGTTTCTTGTTGGTTTGGGGTTTTTTTTTCCCTACAGTTTTCTTCGGCACATGCCATTGAGCAAAAGCGTCTCTTCTTAGACAAAGATGGGGTGCTGAAGGTAAGCAATGACTGGTTCCACCCAAGGGGACTGAAGTTATGCTGTGGTATTTGCAATGGTTTTCCAGTTTGTCCTGAGGTAGGATGAGTCCAGGCAGCGCAATCTAGCAGCGCCAGTGCAATGAGAAAGTCCATCTTTGTGCAGGCTTCCCTCCCCGCCTCGCTCACTGCTGCTGCCAGCACTGTGCTCCGTCGTGTTGGAAGCTCCAGCCTAAATAACTGGGCAGCATATGGAGTAAACATCAATAGCTGGTGCGTACAGGGACTGGCAGGTGGATTATTTAATCTCTGATTGATAAAGGAAGATGAGGAAAACAACTAGCTATGAGGGTGACAGGGAGAAAGACCCATAGCTGATGCTACCCATCGAGCCTGGCTCTGACAGTACAGCACTCCTGCAGTAGAGGAATGTCATCCGGATGCTGGTGGGAACAGAGAGATCTGAGGAAAAAAGCATGTGTTTAAGACCATCTGAATGTGAGGACAGTAGCAGCAGTGCTATAGGCTAAAGCTTAGAAAACTGGAAAATGAGGAATTTGGAGAGAAAAGGGATGGAGTAGAACAGACAAGTCAAGAAGAGACAGATGCCTGGAGGAGGATTTGAGCCAAAATGGATCAAGGCTGTGACAGCAGTAGAGGGTGCTGACCGATGCGCGAGGCAGATCGGCAGTCCTAAAATATGTGAGAGGAGGTGGTGAAATCAAGGTTGAGGATGATGGATCTATAAACGGTGGAGGCACAGGACGTGTGCTGAGCAGGTGGTGATTCTTGCCCTCAGAGCATGCCTGTTGGGCTCATTTGCCTGGAGCAGGCCCTGAGAGCAAGTGGAGGAGGAACCACTGCAAGACCCTCACTCAGTCCATTTTCCCAGAATACAAGACCTTCTGTTTTCCATACTCACTGAGGTGCTTTTAACCTCAAGGTTAAAAGGCAAACTGAAGCGAATACACCACCAGAGTAGAGAAGCTGGAGAGTTTTCTCAACCCATTTAGGTGTGCAGTAAAACCCATGAGGGAAGGTCGCGCCGTGCTCCTGCTCTTTCCCAGTGCTATCCTTCTCGTTTCTCCCCAGGACGTGAAAAGTGTTGGAGTTGTACAGTCTGCTCTGCTGGGAGCCGTCCCAACCCTGCTGAATGCAGAGCTGATAGATTTTACCTATGACAGCTTCGAGCAGACTGACGGACCCATGTTACCTTTCACCACCACCCCGCCAGGCACGAGGAATGACTGGAACTCAGAAGATGAAGCCATAGCTGGGGCTGTGGGCTGTCATGAACAGCAACCATCTGGGGAAATTGCCTCTTCTGAAGAGGAAGGAGAGGCTGAAGATAAAAGCTGTAAGATGACTTGGAAGAAGAGCCAGAGGCTAGCAGATGGCTTGATGAGATTCAGCATCGATCTCCTGAAAGAGGTCCAGCTGGAGTCCAACGGAACCAATGTGATCCTCTCACCCCTCAGCATCGCCCTTGCCTTGTCTCACCTGGCACTGGGTAACTTCTTACTTACAAAAGCACCGTTTCCTGCCCTTACCTGTACCCCCTCCTGGAGGCACTAGGAACCAATGTGCAAAATGCAAAGATTAAATACGGCACCTTCCACTTAATCTTACTCCTGCAGCTTTAATTAGGTACGATTACAATTGAAGCTGCCCTCTGTGGCCCTGCTGAGGCTCCTACTCTCAGGTTTCTCCAGCGTCTTTTGTAAGGCACAGTATATTTCTAACAGGAGGCAGCTAGAGTAACGTCCCTGTTTTCCACTACATGGACATAACCTAACAGGAATTTGACTTTGCTTTTTAGGAGCAGCAGATCAGACAGAGAAGCATTTGCTGGAGGCGATGCATCTGGAGTCAGTGCCCTGTCTCCACCACATGTTGGGCACCTTTTGCAGAAGGCTCGCAGAATCCACCCTCAGCCTTGCGTCGCAGCTGTACCTGCAGAACGGTGAGAGCTGGCACGGGGGAGTCTGTACTGGTGTAGAATAAAACTCTCTTGGTGTCAGAGAGTGATGGAAGCACGCTGCCATACTGGGAGACGTCTCTGTTTCCGTAAGCACTCCTCCTGGGGAGTGTCATGCCACTGGATGAGCCACTGAGCAAATTTTTTCAATGTCTGATGACTTAATGTAGAATTCTTCCCCTCTGCCAGGATTTGAGGTGAAAGAGAAGTTCCTGGAGGATTCAGAGAAATTCTACAGGGCAAAGCCCATGACTCTTTCTGGGATCAGTGAAGATGACCTCGTAGCCATAAACAAGTGGGTAAAGGAAGCAACTAATGGGCAAATACCCACCTTCCTACAGCAGCTCCCTGAAAACACAGTGATGCTCTTGCTCAATGCAATCCATTTCCAAGGTGAGCTCCACAGGCCTTGCTTTTCAAGAGGAATAGTTAGAAATCTACTAGTTTTCTGCAAGCACTGTAGCTGAATGGCATCTCCTTTCATTGCTTCCTGCTAGTCAATCTGCTTGTTCTTTTCTTGTACATCTGCTGTTCCTCTTGCTTAGATTTCTTTACAGTAATGATTCCCAACTGCTTCACATGTGCTAAAAATGTTACTTGACAGCAGAGCCAGAATGCAGCAGGTGGAACCTGCAGTATTTTTGCCTCCTGGTTCAGGATCCCAGATGGCGGCACATCACTGCTCTTCTTAACCAGGTCACATGCAACTCACTGCACACCAACCACAGAGCTCGGAGGCAGCTTCTGTGGATTTCTTTCTGACTACAGCACAATGGTCAGGCACATCTTCCTCTTTTAATTCCCTGAGGGCTGTGCATCGAAACACAGACCAAACACTGACTTCCAGTGTAAATCTGCAAATGTTTTAGCTTGGTCTTGGAGCACTGTTTCACCCTACGCAGCACTCTTCATTTTTCAAAGTGCAAACAGCCATTACTTTATCTTCATAGCCTTCAGTAATCTCCCATGCTGAGGCACGAGGATTAATCCTTGTTGTTTTTGTTATTCCATAGTCCCTCTCTGGAAGATAAGAGCTTCCTGCTGTTAGGGCTCTTCCAGCCTTGGTACTGACTTCTCTTCGCTGTATTTCTACTTGCCTGGTGACCCTCTGCCTTGTTGGAGAACTCATGACAGGAGGAGTGTCAGCTAGGCAGTTTCTGTTTTCCTACCCAAGTTTAACTTCATTGATTTCTAAACTTTTCTTTTGATAGGGTTTTGGAGGAATAAGTTTGATGCTAGCTTCACTGAGCCAGATGTATTCCACCTTGACAATGAGTTCGTGGTCCCAGTTGAGATGATGAAAGCCCAGAAGTACTCCCTGAGCTGGTTTACACTGGAGTCCCAGGACATTCAGGTAGGGCTCTATTAGGAGCATTACAAGTTTTGATTGGAATTTCCTCTTGCTATGATATTTTACAGATTGCAAGTATTCTCTCCAAAAAACAAATGTCTTTTAACAGGCATAGCACACAAAAATTTAATAAGCATCCTTTGTCCTTGCTTCTAGCAAGAATGTTGAGTCTTCACTCTCAATCCCTAGAAAAAACCACAAAGAGATATTCCCACTAAGTGGGAATTAATGGAGTTTTAAAGCTCTGAGTGAAAGATAAATGAGGAAATATGGAAAGGAATTCCCTCAGACAATGTACTGTTGGAGCCCTTCAGAATATAGCTACTGCCAGAGTGGGTACAATGTTTGTGCATGTGGGCTTCCACTCTGCCATGTGTTCAATCTTTACAGGTCAGTGGCTAAATACTAAAATCTAATGCTGTTATTCCAACAAACTTTCTCCTCTGAAGAAATCAGATACCACCTTCCCACCAGGCTGTTTTCGCCCAATAGCTAGACTGGCTCTGTAGACCAATTAGAAACAGACGAAATTAAAAGCATCACTTTCTGGACTTTCCTTCCTCTTCCATAAATTCTTCTGGTTGGTTTTATTTCCAGGTGGCCAAGTTCCCCTTTAAGAGTAACATGAGTTTTGTGGTCATTGTACCAAACCAGTATACTTGGAATACCTCTCATGTGCTGGAGAACTTCCCTTACAAACAACTGTGCAGGCTTTTCCCCAGAGAGGTACCCACCACAGTGAAGATCCCCAAAATAAAACTGGGCTACCAGCTGGAACTCAACAAGGTTCTCAGTCAAATGGGTAAGGTCTCAAACAGGATTTGCACAGATAAGTGAAGCTGATCAATCTATATGGCATCTGTTCACTGACACTAAAAACTGCCATCCTTGTTTCTAAAGCTGTGCCTCACAGCTTGCTCCAGATAACATCCAAACTCTTTCATTTCATCTCTTATTCCTCTCCTCCTCCTTACTCTTTGCTTGCCTAGCACCAAATGTTTTGCTCCAACAAGATGATACTATAGAGAAGGCAGCATTCACAGTTCCTCACAATTTTTACAAGTTCTTCCTATTCCCCTATTTGTAGCCAAGACCAACTTCCTCCCATGCATCAACCTTTATCTCTTACTTTGTCATTTAACATATTGTCCAGGACATAGAAATTGCCAACAGAGAGACTGCAGATCACAAAACCCGGAACGGAGAGCTTACTGAAATAAACCACCATGCACTGCATTTCCAGATGAGAATAAATTAAGAGTTCACTTTGTTTTGCAGAATTGCTTAAAAAAATAATCTGTGTAAAAGTGTTTCCAGCCTAGCAAGAAAGAGCCTTCAGACTTGCTGCTGCTTTTTAAGGAAGGCTTTAAGTTCTTACACTACTATTCGAAAAGAGGTGAACAAAGCTTGTGAAAACTGTTCTGGTTTTGGCACCCTCAGCTCTTCATACAGAGAGGGACAGGGGAACCTGTCTGGACTGCAGCTTTTGTTTCTGTTGCCTGCCAGTTCTCCAGTCCTCCATGGTGGACAACACACGTAGTAGCAGATTATGGAATTGCTTTCTTCGGACAGCTTTGAGAAAAATCAGAGCTGGTGGCACCAACTGGGAAAGGTTAACTTTTAGTCTCATTTCTCTGTAGGCCTCCAGGAGCTGTTCATAAGCCCAAATCTCCGGAAGATCACAGATGAGCCTCTCTTCGTATCCAGTATACAGCATCAGTCTACACTGGAGCTTAAAGAAGATGGGGTGGAAGCATCTGCTGCTACCAGCATCGCGGTTTCACGCTCGGTCTCTGCCTTCAGCCTTGACCGGCCCTTTGTCTTCATTATCTTTGAAGATGAAACAGGCATACCACTTTTTATAGGTAGTGTCCAGAACCCTAACCCCAGTGCTGCTCCACAGATAAAAAAGTCATGGAACTCAGGTAAAGCAACAGATGTCAATGAGTACCCCATGCCCAAATAAGAGAGGAGCAGAGCCTAAGCATTCTGGGACTGCTACCTAACCCTTTGGACCAGCTAAGAGAGGCCTCCTGTCCTTGGAGACCTCCCTCTGAGGCCACAGGAAGCAATCCCTTGCTGTTTTCCTTTATAGATCCCTAGAGACCAGTCCTGGGGTAGCCCATTCCAGCCTTGACGAGCTTCTCCAGGCTGGAGTTCCCCTCTGTTGAACCTGAAAAGCTTGCTCTGCCTGGATTTCCCTTCCAGGGTTCTCAGTCCTGGAAGGGAGACTTCCTTGTCCCCAGACGCTAATAAGAGTCTTTATTAAGCTCTTATTAAGAGTCCCCTGTAGCCTGGAATCATCATTAGCATCTGGCAGCTTGGACAACAGCCAGAGATATTAATATGGCTCTTCCTTCCGCAGTTCCTGTGAACATGTCTCCCTCAAAGTGTTCCTCTGAAAACCATCTGTACTCACCTAGAAAATGACCTCTAGATCAACTGGACTAGTAACCAGTTGTCTTCTCTAGGATGCATCACAGCCATTTCCAGGCACAGGCTCTTTTCAAAAATTCCCTTTTCCCACTCCTTGGCTATTGGGATCTGATGTGGAAGGGCCTGCAGTGGGAAACCCCTTTGGATCCTTATCTCCAGCCCTTTTCCTGGGAAACTCTGGGTTCTTGGGTAATGCTAGATTTTTCGAGACATATTTTGTAAGGTGTTTTTTAGTAATTTTTATGTTGGCAGAATAATAAAGAGTAAAGCAGAATGTATTTGCTTAAGGTGTTGCATTGAAAGACCCAACAGAGAAAGGAAAAAGGCACGCAGCTTGAATAATTGCAAAGACTGGGAGAAAAAAAGTCTGGGCGTGATAGATGGAACGATAGGAGGGGCTCTTGCAAAGGATCTGCTTTTTGCTAGACCTCATCACAGAGGACAACAGGGGCTGTGAGGTGAAATGGCTAATCTGTAAAGGGTGTTCAAGGACAGAGTCCACTAAGCTTTGGGCATCTCACCTGCAGAGTGTGCAGGGAACACTCACTGGGTCAGAGCTGGCTTTGTGAGGTGGGAAGAATTCCTTGAATTAGGGCATGAGCTCAGTGGCATAGGGACAGGAGGGTATTTTGCCTGTGAGCAGCAATGCACTGATAAGCAGGGACGTGACAGTCCTTAACCTTTCTCTTGGGCAAAACCTGACCACTGCTGGTATCTACTAGGAGGTTCAAAGGTGCTGATCCGGCATCTGCTATCTGCGATTCGTTCTTCTACTGGGATATTCCTGGCTCCACAGCACAATGCTATATGGATGGTTGGGACAGCTTCCAGGGGAAGGAGGGGCAGATTTTGATGCCTGTAGCTGAATGTCACTGCTTTTGCCCTGTTTTGGCAAAAGGCAATGTCCCATTACAGCTTCACTTTTGTCAGAGATGGGCACAGCTCCCTGGGTCCTTGTTCTGAGGTAGCAGTGCATGTCTGAAATAAGCTACCATGAAAGAATCTTGGGAACCCTCCATCCAACCAAGCCATCCTACCACTTAAAAATATTAGTCTAACTCACTGTAGCCTGCCATGCTGCAGCTATTTCTGCACAAAACAACTGCTGTCCATAGTTGATTTTGCTTCTGAAATGCCTCAGCTTCTGGGTAAAAAGGATGGTGCTCTGTTTTTGCAAAATAGCAGTTACAGAGCACAAGGGCCATTCTTCTGGCAGTGTTTTCCTCACTTGGGAAGTCTGCCTTCCCTCAAAGGAAGGAGCAGAATGCTTCTGGGAGCCTCCGTCCCTGAATAGTCTGCACCATCTGCTGGAATAAGAGAAGGACTGACTCACTAACCACGAATTTCGGGGATGCAGGAGACTTCGGGGAATAAAAAGTCCTGGCTCAAACCTGCAATTACACATTTCTGGCAGTCTAAAAGGGGAAGAACGGCTAAAGATAATGTCTACCCCTCTAACCAATGCAATGACACGTACCCTTCAAAAAAGAGGGTGTAATTATGGGGCCATGTAATTTTAACAAGTAAACCCACAAGAATTCAGCCCTATTATGAGGGCATAGCTCTAGCCCACAAGGAACATTTTAGCTTATTTATTTATACAGATTCATTCCTAACATTCAGAAATACCATCCCATGCCTTAGGTAAGTCCTGCTTTGGCTACTGCAACCTCAGCGCTAACCTCCCTGTTGCACTGTAACCTGTGCAAAATTTGAAGTGCAAGTCTTCCTTTTCATGCCTCTGCCCTCTAGCTTCCCCTCTTCTAGTAAGTTTTTTCCCCTCATTCTCAGTTTCCTGAACAGCTTGGTTCTTATTTTCTGTCTTTCTGCCATCCCTCCTCCTCCAAGCTATTCTTGTCAAACTATTAATTTCATCTTATTTGACAGTACAGCAGCCCTCCATGACTGTGCTTTGCTCAACAAATTATCAGTTACACCAACCTTAAGACTCTTTTTCACTCTACCGACTCTCCAGAAGAGGCAGTTTGTAAAATGCAAAGTAATATTAATGTCTCTGCTCAGGAATTTCCACTTTGCGTTGCTACGCTTTCATTTTGACTGAGCTCTATTCTGAAAAGGCATGACTAGCACAGAGCATCTGCTCTATAGCTCATCTGCACCACTGGCTGAGAATATCAAATAAGTCTCAAAATCTTTAATATTAGATGTATTTTTTCCTTACTAGAGCAAATTCATATGAACATGATCAGCACTTCCATAGCAGAGGTGAACACTGTTCAGACAGCATATTGCCTACCATCTTGAACCCAAACCAGAACAACAGTAAAATGTTTGTATTGAGTTAACAAAACTGATTTAAGTCCTTGCATCTAGTTAGATGAGTATAATGCACCGTTTCAGGGATACCCTTCACCTACAGCAATAAAGGTTACTTTGGTCTATAATAACATTCTATACAACTGCCACTCTGATTTCAATGGTTCAAAACCAAACCTGTATTTAAACAGATGGGCTTTCATTTGAAGATACAGATGAGATGTTAAAATTTCTCTAGTGGTCCTTCCATAAAGGGCATTATAATACCACAAATAAGGTACCAAAAAGAGATGAAAACCACCGGACAGTATCTCCACAGCAAACACCCCCATTCTTGGGCCGACGATGGAAGACTAACAAGTACAAACATCTCTCTGCAGATGATTTCTCACAGAGCAAGCTGAGAAGCAGTTGAAAGCTGAGCTGTTACTCTTCTTGTTAGAAAGGGTCACCTTTGAAGCACTGACGAATCACAGGGCAGACTACCTGATTTGCTTTTCCAGCTTGCAAAACCAGCAGCTAATGCTTCTCTAAAACCACCCTTTCCTCTTTGCTGAGGGACTGTATGAGCTCGGTGCCAGCATGCATGAGTAACTCCTCATTACCTGTTAGCGGCGGGGCTGGCAGCCCAAAAAGGGGATGTCCCAATGCAAGCCTAGGCTGGGGACACTGATGTTACTGGCTACAATTTACTTTCAGCATTTCCAAGTAGACAAACAGCTGCCCTGGATCAGGCTAGCTACGTGTCCAGTTAGCCCAGTATCCTGGCTCTCCCAGTAGCCAGTAACAAATGACGGGGGGAAAGAAAAGCCAAGAATGACTAGGGACAAGGAAAAACAACTGTTCTCTGGCTGTATCGCCCAGCTGCTGGGTCTGACGTTACATCCGACCATTGTTAGCCTTCAATGGACCTGTCTTCCACTAATTTGGTTTGGGTTTTGTCCCCCCCCCAATCTATTTATCTTTCATCTTCTGCAATATCTAGTTACAATGAGTTTTACAATTTCATACTTAGGAAAAATACACTCTCTTGATTTAAATGTGGGTGCTCCCCTAGAGTCTTCCATTGCAAAAAATAATGAAACCCCTCTGCCCCTCTCCCTTCTCCAGATCATTTATCGTTCTGTAAGCTCCTACAACATTCTGTTAATTCATCTTTTTTACCAACAGTCCTTGGCTTTTTAGTCTCTTTCTTCTTAGCCAAAAACTTTAAGCCAGTTATGTTAATAACTTCTTGTTAACTAGTAACTATCACTGGATAGAGCCAGCTCTGAACGTCTTCCCCTTAACTGCTTTAAACAGCAACAGAATCCTGCTTCCACTTTACAAGTCTCTCCATTAAATCTTGGACATAAATCCATAAATCCATTAAACACTGCTGCATTAACCATACCTCTGAGACAGAAGAAATTCCCTCATGTGACATACGGCAAAACTGCGGGGATAAAAGACTTGCTCAAACAGGGCAGGGAGCATTTGCCTCTCCGACCTGTGCTTTACCCGCTAGACTGCCCTTATCACAGGGATCGCATTTGTTTTGGAAGGCAGGGTTAAAAACTTAGTGCAATTCAGCGGGAGGGTGGCAGCAGCACAAAATGGGAGCAGAGCACTTTAAGAGAGCCCTGGGAAGCTGTAACCTGAAGCCTGCCGAAGGCTGGGCTGGGGGAAGCAGCAAAAAGCAGATGTGGCTGCACCAAGCCCACACTGTCCCCGACTCGCACCGGCTGGGAGCCTGCGACGGCAGCGGCCGAGAGGAGCCCGAGGTAAGGGGCAGCTCACCCTTGCTCACTGCCAGCGGCCAGGGGAGCAGAGGGCAGGGGATGAGGCTGGGGAGCTCTCAGGGGACCTGGGAAAGGGGAAGAACGGTTCTTCTGCAGGTGTTAAAGGGTGGGATTCCCACCAAATGAGAGATCTCACCGAGGGTTGGGAGTCACCAGCATCCTAGGGCACCTCTTCGCCTCTGGCGCTGAACTGTGCTTGGGAACTGGGGTGGTTTTCTGCCCTTCTAGCATCTGTGTTGCAGCTGGGAACACGCTTTTTCTTTGCGATGGCAACAATTTTGGTGATAGTCAAATCTTCTAGAGCTAGTGGGTGCAAGATGCTTCAGAAGGAGTTAGTGCTGTGGGGTGGAGCGATCACAGCGAGCCGTCTGAACTCGTGGATGATGTTTCATAGCACCCCTAAAATCAGAAGTGTTTATAAACGATGCGAGACTTGTACCACTATAGATGGAAAGAAAAGTATTTCCTTTGCACCTGCAGGCCTCCACAAATAGACAACTCCCAGACACAAAGTTCCTTCTCAGCTCGTTTCTCAAAGTTTTCTTCCCGTACCTTCCTGACTGTAACATCACACGCTGCATGCTGTTGCTCCTTCTCTTCTCTTTAAAGACAGCCACAGATTTTAATATCGTGCCTGAAACCATCCCACCTCTGCTCCAACCAAATTCTTTTCTCTGCATTTTTGGCTGTGCGCTAAGTGACATGCAAATAGAATCCAGATGTTCAGGCCAATTCAAACGCAAAAGGCTTTGTCTTTCTAAAATGGAAATTGCTTTTTGGCAAAATTTGAGAAATATGAAGCTGGTGACACTACTGGCAAAAACAATACAAATCTGCAAAACCAATCTCCGCTCTCATGCTCCCAGGAGCTCAGTGTAGTTGGAAGCAGAAGTTGTGTTGAGATTATTATTTTTTTTCTTCAGAGAAAAGGTTATGCTCCATGGAAAACCTTAATCTCTAAACTAGACTGGGCCACATCTCTTCCGCTCCGCATGCAAGAGTACTGCTTGCTGCAGGCATCCTCACAAAGCCCTCGCCAAGACCTGTTTAACTTAAGACTCACACAGGGCTTCTGTCATCTCTTTTTCAGCATGGTGCCTATTCATTGTAAAATTCTGCAATCATATGAGCAATCCCAATATCATCTCCACTATCATACCACCAAACGCATTGGTTTGTTCCAGTATAGTAAATCCTCTTGATACAC